AGCCTCGAGCCATTGCTGGCAGGCTTGCAGCAGCAAGTCCAGAAAGTGCACCAGAAGGTGCAGGGCGAGCTCTGGGTCCATGTTGCCACCTGCGGCGGCGTCCCCGAAGGGAAGCACCGACACAGACGGGCACAGAGACCAACGCTTTGCTGTCCCTCGGCGAGGTTGGATAGCCTCAGACAGCAGTCACACAACGCAACTACTGACCTGATGCCCTGCCAGAACTGGTTTCAGGTGCCCTTAAATGCGCCCCTGCGTCCAATCGCTGTGGACGCACTAGTTCTTAGGTCTAGCTGCGCTAGTTCGAATTAACTAATTCAAACTAAGTTAGTTCGAATTAGTGCTGTAGTGTAGACATACCCCAAGGCTTTACTAAAGGCAAAAAAGGCAAGATTTTTTTTTAAAACACATTTGGAGGCAGAGTAGTAGAGCTTACGTTTTACCTGGAAGTTTAATCTCTCCTATTCGGACAATATGTGGCCAGTGCTGAAGTGTTTTAGCAAAAAAAGGGTTCGTCACTCCTAAAATGACAGAAGGCCTAGAAAAATAAAGAACAGAAATTCTTCAGTCAAGAAAGCAACAGTTTGTACCACTAAAATATAGATATCAAGGACTATTCTAACTTGAAACGATTCTTAAGAGTTAGCAATTAATATGAACACAAAGAAATAATTACCCGTATGAAACATTTATTTAAAACATATTTCCCAAAATTTCAGCTTTCAAAGGACAGCATGCAGATCATATATATCATAGACTAAGTATGCTTCCCCTTGCTCCTCCTCACCTCTGGCTGTGTTCCAAGTCCTACCCCCTGCCACATCCCCATTTTCTTCTGGTGCCCTGTCTGGCCCCGTTCCCAGCCGTGGCACGGTTCCACACCCAGCTGGGAGCCCAACACCAGCCCACATCATGGCCCAGCTGCAACTCTACTCCCAGCCCCTTGCCAGTGTAATACTGACAGGCAGAACTGAACCTAAAACCTATGGAAGCTTAGTGAATGAGCCTTTGCCACTTAAGCTAAAAGCTAGCTGGCTTTCAACTAGGTCTGTAGAGCACATTCTTTGTTCTCTCTCTATGTAAGTGATCCAAGTGCCACTAGATGGCTCAATACACCATACCCAGTATGTGTGTGGGTTATACCAGTGCCCAGATTCCATCTATTCCTGAAATGAGGCAGAGACTGGGGGCAAGGTTGGGAGTGGAGTTGCACCTGGCCCCAGGTCCAGCACAACCTGGCTGTGCCCCCAGTCCTGACCCCAGCCTAAGCCACTAGGACTGGCCCCACTCCTCGCCCTAGCTATGAAGCACATACAGGGGTAAGTTGGGGGCATGTCTCAAAAGTTTGAGGACTGCTGCCTTAAGAAGAAAGCAGACAGTAAATATTATCTGGATTAAGGCTAGAAATAAGAGTGAACTGTCTCAAGTTGTTTTTTAGCTGAAATCATTTTTGGCAATGACAATTTGTTTATTAAAGGACACAGAAAGTAAATTCTTAAAGGTTTCATTGCCAATACCTGCCTGCCCAAGTTGGAGCCAACCAACAGGGATCAAAGCTCCCTTGAGTGCTCCAATGACCGTCACGGGCGGTAAGAAGGAACTGAGGTGGGGGAGCACTGGCAGGGGTACTTATGCCTCACCATAGCGGTGCCACTCAAGCGGGCGCCCTGACAGCACTACGGGTACCGCTAGGGAAAACGCTCCGGAAGTCGCAGTGCACGCGGTGCGCACATCTAATCTGAATGGACATGAGAAACCACTCGAAGAAGAAGAATTTCAAGTAATTCCAACAGTAGGCATAATCTTATTTAAAGTATACTCTGTAATAAAACAGCTTTTCTGCCGCCAAGTATCATGTTCTACACACTCTAAGCTAAGTTCTCCTCAGTTGCACTGGTACAACCCTAGAGAATCTATGGAGTTTAACTGCCTTTACATAGATATAACACCTATTTCATCTTGTGTGTATCTAAATGCCAAATGGCTACTTCAAGCTTTTTCTTATGACAAAGAGTTGTTTAAAAACTTGTGTCAGCCCATACACTTCATCAAATGACCTACAGTTCTTCCAGATGACCCAAAAGTTTAAGAGGTAAGAAACGTATTAGATCATCTGGCCTATTTCCCTTATGATGCAAGCTTGTTTGCCATTAGAAAATACTGTATTTTCTAAAATTTAACTGAAGTTGTCTCAGATCTTGGGAGAGAATTTCACAGTTCAATGTATTTCACTGTAAGTAATTTTTCCTTTTTAGTTTGTACTATTGTTATAGATCTGCCAGTCCCAGTAAAGAGGAGAGACAAGGTAAATAAGACAATATCTAAAGTTGCACCAACTTTTGTTGGTTAAAGAGACTAGTTTTCAAGCAACACTAGTTTTCAGGTCTGGGAAAGGTAATCTGAGTGTCACAACTAAATACAATATGGAACAAATTGTTCATCATGTGTTAACTCCTTATGGTTAAATGGGCAACTGTCTACTCCAGTCACAGGGCAAAGATTACTGTAATGAAACATAACTGGTGGGGCTCTATTAAGTCCATTATTTTCAGGGCCTAGCCAAGTCATTAATTTAAGCTCCCAGGCTTCACTTTTGAAGGTGTTCGTGCAGGTTTCCTTTGAGGACTGTGAGGTCAGATGTGGAGTGATAATTTTTTCACAGTGTACTTTTGTCTTATTTTTTAAATGAGCTCACACATTAAAATAAGACAAAAAATCCCATCATAAAAAGATCACCCTCATGCTTTAGTACTGCATGGAAACTACTGTCAAAATTCACCGTCTTTAGAACAAAGGTCTCTCAGAAATAAAGGTCATTTTCCAGTATCTAAAATTTTTAATGAAGAAAAGCAGAAAGATGCATTTTTCACTCCTGTGTATGAAAACAGCTATAATTTTTGAACATGGGTCACTAAAGTTCAGCCAAACACTACTCTGGATTCCATGTAACTGGTTATTCAATTTGTAATTTACTTGCTAAACGTAACTAAACCACAAATGTAGTGCCCAGGTTCGAATGCTTTTCCATTACCATATTCTCTGAGAAGGATTTAAAAAAAAAAAATTTTCCATTACCATATTCTCTGAGAAGGATTTAAAAACAAACAAAAAAAAAAAGTCAGCAAGTCATGCTTTAAAGGAATCTTGTTCAGAAAATGATCAGTAAATCTAATGGAAATAATCACTGATTAAGTTGTAATAATTCAGTAAAATATTTATTTTGAATACAAGTATATGGTCTAGTTAACAACATTTGGATATATATCCTAAGTGCCACAATTAGGTCTAAGAAAAATTATGAAAATTCAAGATCTCAATCCTATTTCCCAAATTAATACAAAAATCCACAAATATGACTGGTACATTCATACAAGTTCTCTGAGGAAGCACACATTTTTTTCTTAAGATCCATCTACACTGGAAAATTAAATGGAATAGATGCTGTGAATCAATAGGTATTCCAGGATAGATCCTAAAATGGATGCTCTATCCAAAATGTGTAATTTTATATGCAGTCATTATTTTGGAAAAGAGTGACTTCTTTCCCCGAATACATCATCTTCATGAACTATTCTGGAATACCTAGCTCTGTCTTAGATATTCTGGTCAGTTCCCCATGTAGATAAGCCCTTACTGAAGAGCAAAGCATCTGTTTTCATTCAGGATTCAACTCTTTCACCAATCAGGTACACAGACATCCTACTGACTTCAAGTGTGATTCTAAATATGAGATGATTAGGATACAACCACATATTTCAGATCATCTTCTCTCTCTTAACTAGCTGGAATAACTATAATTAAAGCAGAATCATGTACACGTAAGAATGGAAGGCATTCCGGATGCAAAACCCAGTACACCTAAACCACCTTGACAGCTGTTTGTACAGCCGCAACCTCCCTTGGAAGCCCATTTCAGAACTTAATTAGCCTAAAGTTAAAACATTTCTCCTGATTAATTAAGGCTGTGTCTGGTTAAAACATTTCTCCTGATTAATTAAGGCTATGTCTGCACAGCAGTGCTTTTCCAGGATACTGGAGGTATCTCGGAAAAGCTCTGCCGAGTCCAAGGAACGCATCTGCTTTTCTGAAAAAAATTCCAGAAAAGCAGACACATTTTTTCGGCATCCCTGTAAACCTCGTTCTACAAGGAAGAAGGGATGTTCCAAAAGACTTTTTTTCCCCTGACATTTGGCCCCGTGTAGATGGGCCAAATGTCGAAAAGCCTCTTTCAGAAGACAAGCGGAAAAAGATACTCAAATTGCGGTTCACAATTTGCATATCTTTTTCATACTTTTCTTAGTAGAGTAGACATAGCCCAAGTCTCTCTAGATGCAGATGAAACCTGTTACTTCTTGTCCTATCTTTAAGAGGCATGAAGAACAATGGACCATTATCCTCTTTATAACAGTCTTAACATACCTCAAGACTGATCAGGTTCCACCGCCCAATCAGTTGTCAGTTATCAAGACAAAGCATGCTCAGATTTGCTTTAGGTTTATAAATCATAGCTTATAAAGACAAGTTAAAAAGTCTATCATATTCATTGGTCCCTTCAGGACTCTCTCCAATCTGTCGTGATCATTCTTAGAGAGCAGGGCCTAAAAATGAACAAAACTCTTCAGCTTGAATCTGGCCAGATCTCACATACAACACTGCTATTAATAAACCCAGAAGGGTATTGGCCTCTCTCACAACTGCATCACATTGTTAACTCATATTGCATTTGTGATCCAATATAACAGCCAGAGCCTTTTCAGCACTACTAATGCCTAGTGAGTTAACTATTTAATACAAAATGAGAGAGAACTATAGCTTACTATGTTACAACACCAAAAAGAAGGGGGTTTCTTTCCAAAGTGTCCAAAACCAAAGTCTCAGAAAGTGAGCTTTATTCTTTAAAAGCGGCGAGGAGTCCTGTGGCACCTTATAGACTAACCGAAGTGTTGGAGCATAAGCTTTCGTGGGCAAAGACCCACTTCGTCAGATGCATTATTCTTTAGTTTCCACTTTAAAACACTGTTATGGAGCAAGAATGACCTGATCATTAACTTTTACATCTGTAATCCATGTTACTTACGGGGCTTGTGTACGAGTGGTATATTCTTTGAATTCACTATCATGTATAGTGAAATAGGGCCTAAAATCACTGCAGTACTTCAAAGGTGAAATGCAACTGTGGAGCAGAAACATAGATGGTTAAATTAAGTATATGCATAAAGATACTTCACATAAAGAGACACTAAAAAATGTCAAATTTCTAGAGCTTCATTGGATGCTATTCAATATTCCTTTCAGATCAACAGAACTTAACTGTAAGGACACTATTATATTTACCTAACAAGTGCCAGAACAGTTTCTGAAGATTCAGAAGGTGATGGTGCCATAACAACCACTGGTTCTCCTAACAACACTAGTTCCCAAAGCATCTGAATGTGAAAGAACACTGGACAGAAGCATCTGAAAACAGATTTATAGAAGTATACAGACACTTTTCAATATATTTATCACCAGAATAAATACAAATTACAGTTAAAAGGACACAACTAGATAAAGGACATTTGAAAACTACAGTGAATATTTTCCTATTTTCCCTGTTAGAATAGTTTTCACATAAATAAATATCCAATTACATAGACTTTGCTACTTACTGTAGTTACTTTCAACCAGTATTAAATATGCTTTCCTTTAGTCATCTTAATAAAAACAATGCTTTAACAACTATTTGCAATGATGCTGTTAAAATTAGTTGGTTAACTAGAGCATCATGTTTCATAAAGCTCCACTGGCCTCAGAATAATTTGCGAGCATTCAATACGACTAAAAAAAGTCTGGTCAAATTTTTACCTGAAAAGATCCACTTCATGAACAGTAGGTAAAGCAATCGAGATTTGTGTGTCTGCCTAAAACGCAGAAATTAACTATTTAGTCAGTATAACACAATTAAAAGTATTGAATAAAAGTTGCCCTCTAATGGACCAAACATGGTAACACAGGACATGTACTATGTCATATCCATATTAGTTCTTTACCTGTGCTAATGATAAAGTAAGGATATCAGTTACGCTTGCAGCAACTGTACAGAAGTCTGCCTCAGCCCGAGAATGATACCAAATGATTAAGACATTTCAGTCCATGATATAATTTTAAGGAGAAAATAAAAGCAGACAAGTGGTTTATCATATCCATGGCTTGTATGACCAAACATGGAACTTTTAGGGGGCTGTCCCCTACATAGTAATTTTTGAGTCAGCTTCTCAGTAGCCAAATACTGAGGAAGCTACACTCCATCCACCTCCATCCTGAAATCCAAGTGAAGAATTTATAGGTATTTAAAGAAATGTTGTTCCAGAGGCTACAATTGCTGGTGAGTAGTTTTCAGGGGAAGTTTAAGGCAATGATTTTGTCTTTAAGCCTTAAATGGCTTATTGCTTGGTAACCTTACTTTATGGGTGCCAACTGTAACGGTATCAACTAAGCTGCTTGAACTAACAGTCTTCTGAAGCTTTAGGTTTCAACCAGTAAGGGGTTATGCCCCCATTTGCTCAGCATCTCTCAGTACCTTAAATGTTATACTTCTGTGGCGCTCAGTCCTGATGCCAACAGACCGAATACAAGCATCCAGATCACAACAGGACTTGTTCTTTCTGAAAAGTAACCCCACCACTCTCCCAGTCCCAAATGTTACCCATATCCTCTGCCAATATGTCAGTCTGCTGAGATTCCCAGAATAGTGAGTTACAATGTTACACCCCTCTCCCCTGTCAACCTGAGCAAATTAAGAGTTTTGCTAATGTGGCAGCTCTCTGCCAACAACCTGTGTGCCTTACCAGCAACTTCTTCAGTCCAACCCTTGCTGGTAATAAATAGTGAACAACCCTCTCCTAGAACACTCAGAAGTAATTGAGTTAATTGCTCCTTTAATTAGACAATACAATGCATCTTGTTAACGTCAATCCCCAGATAAATTCTTATTTCAATCACAGAACTAAATTGCTTTATAGAAAAATTAAAACAAGTTTATTAAACAAGAAGTCATAGATTTAAATCCTCCTATGTATAAGAAGTAGATAGTCATGATTACAAACAACAGGAAGGGTACACTTTTAAAAGTACACAAGAACTGAAATACTATGTCAGACCAGAGGTCCATCTAGTCCAGTATGCTGTCTCCCAACAGAGGCCAATGCCAGGTACTTCAGAGGGAATGAGCAGAATAGTGATCCATTGTCTGTCACTCATTTTCAACTTCTGGCCAAGAGAGGTAGGGACACCATTCCTGCACATCCTGGCTCATAGCTATTAATGGATCTTTCCTCCATTAACTTATCTAATTCTGTTTTGAACCCTGCTACAGTCTTGGCTTCCACAACATCTTCTGGCAAAGCATTCCACAAGTTGACTCTATAACTCAAGAAAGTTATAATCCTTGCCTAAGTATGTTTTTCACCTATATTTAGTTCCAGTTAGGGATGCAATAGTGGGGGGGAAGGAAGGGTGGGGGGGAACATCTTTCCTCCATTAACTTATCTAATTCTGTTTTGAACCCTGCTACAGTCTTGGCTTCCACAACATCTTCTGGCAAAGCATTCCACAAGTTGACTCTATAACTCAAGAAAGTTATAATCCTTGCCTAAGTATGTTTTTCACCTATATTTAGTTCCAGTTAGGGATGCAATAGTGGGGGGGAAGGAAGGGTGGGGGGGAACGGGGCTAGCCGTGGGATATCGGGGGAGGGAGTGAACCGGCT